GATTTTAGTTTACTTAACATAGTTCTAGTTATAATTACTTTTATTTTTCTTTTCAATTTTTTATATTTAAAAAATCAAAAGAATTTGCAAAATTTCTTGAGTAGATAGGCATAGCTGCTATTCAGATATAGCTAGTATATAGTATTGTTTTAAATTTCTTTTTCAATATTAATTAGATGTGTTCATGTAAGCAGGCTAGCATTTAACTTGCTACATATGTACATAAGAGATGTTGTTTCTTTCATGATGTATACCATGTTATATACAATATCAAATAAAGAAATGATGCTTACTTATAAGGGGAAACCCCCCCAAAAAAATAATAATTATTATAAAAATTAAAAATAACAATATTTTTGTAATTTACAAACTTACAATAAAAATCCTCACGTGTATCATACCTTAGCCCTTAAAAAAAAAATAATAACAATATTCTTCTTCTGATCTAATTAATTTTTTATAAGTTTTTTTTATATTCTATTTATTTCTTAATCTTGTTTTTATCAAATCTTTGTTTTTATATATTTATAAGTTAATTGTTTTTTTAATATTTTTTGTTTTTTTTTTTTCCTACCTTATTATATTATTATATTTTTTTCAATATTGAAATTTTATATATTTTTATTTCATATTTTGTGAAGTTCCTTTATAATTTTTTTTAATATTTTTTTTATTTTTATTCTATTGATCTGGTTAATAAGTTTGATAAGCTACTTATCATATCTTTTTTTCACTATATATTTAATGTTTTTTTTTATTCACTAACTATTTTTATAATTTGTTTTTGCCAATTTGTTTTTTCTACTTGTTTATTAATTCTGCTTGAGATTTCTTCTTTAAGAATTTATATAAATTTATTTTTTTTTTTTTTTTGCCTCTAATCAGACTACAAATAAAAATGTTTATTAATCCAATTTTTGGACAACAGTAATACAATATACATGATATTATATTAAAGCTAAACTAACACAATTTTGCAAAATACCTGTCAATAAATTTAGATTTGTATGTGATCCTTGAATCCTTAATACCAAGACCACTGTGTTGTCCACATGATTTAGTTATTTACTAACTATCTCACTACAAGGGAGTAGGTTTATTAAACTATTACTGTGTGATACTAATTATCTTAGAGAATTTATGTAAATTTATTTTTTATTTGTTTTTAATAATGTTTATATAATATACATATATTTTGTTATTATCTATAATAGTATTAATGGTAAAGTAAGTAGCACTAAGTGAATTATACACATGATATAAACAAGCCAATGGAAGAAACAAAGTAATTGAAATACTATATCTTTTTTTATTTCTTTTTAGGATATCTGGAATTTGAAATTAAAGGAATTATATTTTTATAAGATATTCAAACAAGTATTAAATCCTGTGATAATTAGAATCCAAGTTAAATAAGTTAATATTATTAATATTTGATAAAATATCAATAGAATTTAAAGATTTGTTTAGTTTTTCTCATATTTAATAAAGTTTTTCTTTATTATTATAAATAATATCTTCTTTAACATGAAATATTATACAGTTTGAGACAAAAAAACTGGCACTCAATTTTTTTTATTAAAATTATTTTAAGTTTTATTAAAAATTTTTTTAAAAAAAATTAATTTAAATTATTATGTCATTCTTTTTAAAATCTTTTTAAAAAAAAAAATCAATATAAAATTATATTAAAACTATTTTCTACTCTACAGAATTTGAACATAAAATAAAAAATACAATAATAATTAAATAAAAAAAGTTTTTTAATACAAATTATTTTATTAGTTTAAAATTATTTAAATTTTTATTTTTATTTAATTTAAATAAATATTTATTAAATAATAACAAAAATAAAAAGTGCTATTATTTTTGTCCCATACTGTATTATTTATTAATTGTATCAGAGCAGTTTTTGTTTTTATAAAGACTAGATTTTCTTTTATTTAGTTTATTTTTTATAAAAAATTCTTTATTTAACAGTTTATTTTTAAATATTCTAATATTGTAGTTAAGAGTTCTAACAATTTGATTCAATTTAATTCTTGATTCTGAAGTTTATATTAAATTTAATATATGGATTATAACTCAACTATTATTTTTAATAGTATTTTAAAATCTTATGCAAGTCTATATGAATCTGTTCAATTCTAATTTTCAAAACTACAATATAATTATAGTCTTGCTGACTAATATAAATGTTTATTATTATTATTATTGTTTTTTTTTTTTTTTAAAAAAACGGGCGGCTCCCCGCATATGTTTTTATTATAAAATTTTAGACTTGTAACAGGGCAAGATTTTATATCTAGTATGTGGTATATGTCTCCCTTGTTAGGAAGGGTTTAACACAAGACCTACCATAAGGACCCATTCGCCTGTACTCCTTAGCACCACCCAAAAATACAGGAAAATGAATTTCAAAACCTATATTAAACTTTGAATGGTGTCTAGCTATCTAAAATAAATGATACCTAATTATATAAAGACACTGCAGCCACTATATACAGGTTTGCTTCCAAATAATAACTAGAATTGGCATGCTTGCTTTCCAAATATAGCTTGATGTTTGGCAAGCAGATAAAGTGTTAAATTCAAACTATGCTAGAAACAAACCATACCAAAATATTGTCAGTCCTTTATCAACTGCATCTAGTATTAACTCTCTATTCAAACCCATCACTAGAACTTTAGGCTGAAGGGTGACAACCAATTTCATTACCAATGCCATCCTGAAGTAGAGTTAATCTTTTATCAACTGTACCTAGTATTAACCTCTTATTCGAATCCATCACTAAGACTTTAGGCTAAGAGGTGGCAATTAACTTTGCTGTAAGATAGCTCTGGAGTGTGTGTTTTGGTTAAAGAATAGTTTGAACCTGGGAGATAGAGAAAAAAGGCTTATACATGGAGTATTGGATTGTTGAAAAAGATGTTGAATATAGAAAAGTAGAAGTTTTCTTATAAGTGTTGATACCTAATCCTGTACATCGGACCTACATTGTCGGAGGGGTGAGTAGAGAACTTTTGTTGTCATCACCAGCTTGTGTTGTGAGGGTAACTGGAATCCCTAGTCTCATGTATTATTCTACTAAGTTTCCCCAACCACCAGCATGGCATCTGCAGCTAACCTAGCATTATGTTAGTACATTGGCATTGGCTATCACATCACTCTGGAAATAGTGGGGCGCAACTCCTTGGATACTTTCAGATAATAATAGTTGTACACCGGTTTCTTAGATGTATCCAATTTAAAAAAGCCATTACTTAGTAAACAACATCAGATTTGGTAATGATGACCATATTGATCTTTTGGAGAGGTAAAAAGTCCATCTCTTTTCTAAAAAACCATGGAAGGAAGAAATTTTCTGAAGCTCATGCCTTGAGAAAAGTTATCACTTCTTGATATGACCCTTGAGAAAAGGAAACCAACTGACCAGAGGGTTGATGCTATAAAGAGCAGATTTTTCAAAAGAAAGAGAAGCCTAGAAAGGAAAACCTTCAAATAAAAGGGAAAAACCTAACTTTGGCAAGAAAAGAGATAAGAAGGGGAAGGGAATATAGATGAAAAAAAAGTAATAAGAAAAGAGGGGAAAACATAGGGGAGAAGGAATAAACAGAAGTAGGGAAAGGGAAATGAAGAAAAAGAGAAAGGGGAAGACAAAGAAAAGTAAACAACTCAAAAATTTCCTAAAAAGGAAAATTTAAAGCACCTAGGGGAAGTGGGAAAGAGTTTTTTTTTAAAAAAAATGTTTATTATTTTTAATGGTACTATACTAGTTTATATATATATATTTTCTTATTTTCTGTTTTGAATTAAACTTTATATTTCTATCATATAGCTTAGTTATAAATTCATTTGTTGTTTTACTATTGTTTTATAAATTTATTGATATTGATGTTTAGATCTTTGCTTTTTTATTGCAAAAATTTCATATATTTTTAATATGTTAATTGTTAATTTCAATATTATTAACAATTTGTATCTGAATATTTTGATGTTATAGTTTTATTAATTAATATAAAAGTTTATTATTTTTATCTAACAAAAAATAATAACAATTTAATTAAATTTTGACAAATTTTATTGTTTTAAATATATTATATATTTTAAAGTTATATAAATAAGCTAATATTATAAAAAAATTTTTATTTGAAATTTTTTATTAATAAAATTTTAATTTAAAATTAATTTATTATTTAATTCTAACTTAATAGCTATTGTTGTGGGGGAAATGGATAAACGTGGTATGGTGCAATAACGTGATGCATTTATCATGCATCAGTAATAGGCGTCGAAGCTTCTTGAGCTTAGGGTAATTTTGCATAATGCAACAATAGATAACTGTACACATCACTAGTAATATAAATAGAAGTAGGATAGCCTGATAACTAAAAAAATGGAACTTATAATATTGTAATTGGTAACCTTCACTCAATAAAGAAATAAATTATTATTTGTGCCTGTTACTTGTCTCTCTATAAAGATTTACTAGTGTTTTGTGGAAGATCCAAGAAGGCCAAAAAAGAAAACTGTAGTGTGGATTAAGTACCGGACTAGTAATAAAAAAGAAACAAGTTAGTAAAAGTACTTGGTCAAATTGATACATGCCTCAAGAGAAGAAAGAACTTACCAGAACCCCTATTGTTATGCAAGTGCTGATCCTGGGATAGCGACAGACTTGCCGAAAATAACAATAACATTTGATGGTGACTGTGAGATTGGATGCTTGTTACCCCCCTCCCTTGATAAAATTGTGCCAACAAGGACCACATCAATTTTAAAAAAAAAACTTGTGTCAAATAAAAATTTAATTAAAAGAAAACAAATATTAACCGAAAGCGTTACCTTCACAAAGATCTGCACAAGAACCCATGACATAGTGTCGTGATCTGCCTTGATTACTAATCAACAGCAACAATGATAGAAATAATAGACAATATAACTGATCAGCAAATCCCTTTTGCTCCGCGACAACGATATGTCCGGAGAAAAAAAAAGAATGACTTTGTCAACCTGGGAGAAGAAAAGGAAGTCTGCAATGTTAGAATGCCCAGGTTCAATGGCAAAGAAGAAGAGGATTCATATTCATGGGTTAAGTCCTACGAAATAATTGCAAAAATGAGAAAATGAATAGAAAAAAAGAAATTAAGAAGAGTAACAAGACACCTAAAAGGTGGTGCAACATAGTATTACAAATCGTTAGTTGGAAAGTTTAAAATTAGCCAATCAGAATTCAGGATTTTTAGTTGCAACTAGTTGATTATATTAAAAACAACTAATCAATTAGAAAAATTTTTGCCAACTAAGATCACTAGTGCAACAGACTGGTATAATAACTGTCAAGATCATTTTATCTGGTGGAATAATAAAGACGATTACAAAAGAAGTTTCGTGCCAACATTCTTGCATCACTTTATAATGCTGGAGCAGTGGCACCAGAAGGAGGAAGAATTGAAAGAATTCAAGCAAGAAGAGAATGAGAAAGTAAGTAAGTATACCTATAGGTTCGGAAGACTACTCGCAAAACTTTATCCCAAGAGTGACTATTTTAGGGAAGTGGCAGAATAGTTACTTGTGCTTGTGCTGAGAAAGAATATACTGCTTTTACCAGCTGTGGCAAATGCGACCAACCTGAAAGAAGTACTTAAAGTAGCAATGGAAATCAAAGACAATGAGAAAAGAAGTTTAAGTAAAGTAAGAAAGTTAAAGGACAGTGAAAAAGAACCAAGCTGACAAACATGTGAAATGAGGAAAGGATATGACATACTGGTTGTTCGCATTGAGTTTGAGACCAAGGAATACCGTAATAAAGATCATTTAGTAAAGAATAGCCTGGCTAGAAGGGATAATAATAGGAAAAAAAAGGCCATGTCAAAGATGAAACTAATAAGGAAGAATCATCTACTCAAGGTGAAGTTCAAATCCTGGAACCCTGAACAGGACAATAATGATGCATCTCAGTCTGAAGAAGAAATAGATATGGCATATTCCAGTGGACGGGAAACTGTATCAAAGAAACGAGGGAAGGTCCCAATTTCAAATAATAAAATCGAGAAGTCACAAACTGACGAGATCGATGACAGTCCTGATGATAAGGATGGAAAACCTATATTGCAAATTGAGGGCCTATATGAAAAGAGGAAAATAAGTAAAGATGAGGAAGAATAGTTAATCTGCTTTAAGAAAAATGAAAAGAAGGCAACAGAAAAAATAAATAATAGTTTCAACTATATATGTTGCTGAAATTCCTAGATCCTTGATAAAATTGATACAATTATTTAACACAATTAATTGAGTCACTATTAAAACATATAAATAATTAAATTATGACACAATTATTTTTGAGAATTTTGAGAATTAAGTCAACAGCAAAATAATTTATGCCACATGTATAGTCCCAACTCCAATAATAAAATATGACTAGAGATCCTAAGTTGCATCGTATGGTCCTTCCAAAAGGAAGTAACAATGACGGTGACCAAAGAGGGTTCAGATAAAATCAATGTAACTGAGGGGAAAGGGGACAAATTAGAGAGACAACACAAGCTAACAAAGGAAGTGAGCATGGAAGAACAAGGCAATGCAAAATGGAAGAACCATTAACATCATATGTTGGGACACAATCTGAGAAACTAGATCCAGCAGCTTACCTATTCCAATTAGAAGAACCATTGGTTTCGACTGAGATTGTGGAGAAGGAAGATGACATCAGGAACAACCTGTGGAAAGTTGATCTAAGTGAAGAGAAAGATGATATAATTGAGACAGAAGAACATGAAAGAAAGCACACAAGCAAGATACTAATCCAACATGGTAATCCCCTGTCTGTAGAAGAATTAGTCACAACACCAATAAAAGGAATGTAAGAGAAAAAAGTATTGGAAAAGGTTGAAGCATTGGAAATGAATAAGAAATTAGAAAAAAAACAAGTAGAGCAAGTAAAAAAAATGAAACAGGGTGTATATGCACAATTAGAGTTTGAGCTGAGTTGGACCAAGGTGGTTCAATATACAATCGATACTGGTGGTACAACTCTAATTCAGCAAAATGTATACAGGACAGCCCTGGACATACGAGAGTTTAAAAAGGAAAAAATGATATTTGTGAGTACCTGGGCAACACATGCACCAGGGGAAGAGACTTTTAGGTTGCACACTATCCTGGCATCATGGCAACGAGTAGTGAGATTGTTTCTACACAAATATAGAAGAAAGCTCCTAGTGATATACTCAAGCATTTTCGCAACACTAGTATTCTGTATGATGATGAGGATTTATAAGATGGTTTGGACAGAGAGTCTTGTAAAAGAACTCCTGATCAAGTATGTAAATGTGATCGAGAGTACCGTACAGAAATTTGAGTGTGTAGCAGTAATGCAATGCATCATCTATATAAATAATGATGTCACAAGCAATCACGAGACCAGAAACAACATGAGGAGGTCGAACGATGAAAAGATAATATTGACAACTATGAAACATTTATATGTATTAAAAGATATAACCATTGCAGCTTGCAACTTATCTATAATGGATCAAAGACTGCAGATTCTACACAGGCAGAAAACTGAGAAAAAGGTGATAATATATTACCTGAATACCTCTGCTACAAAGTTTAAAAGGAATGCCACTAGCTCGATTAGAAGAACGAATCCAACAGTTGATGAGATGGGACAAACAAGGAGAGATATAGGACAACCAAAACAATTTATAGAAGTGTTTCAGGTCCTGAAAATATCATGTGATCTGAAGCAGAAATTCAAAGACAGCTCAAATTGGAACCACAAAATAATAACTAGTATTATACATAGGCTAGCATTAGCACAAGTAATGAATGATGATTGAAAACATATGAAATTAGAAATACAAGCTATCGAGGGGACAGAATATTGGTTTGGGATTATAACAACAACAACGAAGATGTGGAGGTGAGCGAACAAGCAATGCATCATGGTCTTTAGAATTTCGATACACCACGTAATGAAGAACAAGAAGTCGGAAGATGCAAGCTCGAATTGAGACCAGCAAGTACACAACAGGATGACAGCACTATTAATATAACCAATGCAATTCAACCATTAGATACTCCACTATCACAAGTAATGACAAATATTAATAAGCTAGTGATTGGAACAGATGGTCTACTATCTCAACTAATCAACAAGAGAAGTACTATGGACCGGAGAAATTGATTTAAGGTTATATGTGAAGTGTATAAAATAAGTGTAGGAGAATGTTGTAGGGAAAATAAATAGGCATGGTATGGCACAGTAACATAATGCATTTATCATGCATCAGTGATAGGCACCGAAGCTTCTTGAGCTTAGGGGGATTTTGTATGATGCGACAATAGATAACTATATATGTCGCTAGTAGTATAAATAGAAGTAGGATAGTCTGATAACTAAAAAAACAGAACTTATAATATTGTAATTGGTAACCTTCGCTTAATAAAGAAATAAACTATTATTTGTATCTGTCACTTGTTCCTCTATAAAGATTTACTAGTGTTTCATGAAAGATCCAAGGAGGCTGGAAAAGGAAACCGCAACACAAATTAAGTACCAGACTAGTAATAAAAAAAAAGCAAGTTAGTGAAAGCACTTGGCCAAATTGATACATGCCTCAAGAGAAAAAAGAACTTACCAGTACCCTTATCATTATATAAATGCTGGTCCCAGGATAGCAACAGACTTGCCAGAAATAATAATAACACTACATATATTATAATTTTATATATTTAATAAATTATAATAAAAAAATATTATATTATTTAAAAAAAAAAAAACTCTTTTCCATTCTTCTTTCTATGCTTGAAAATTTTCTTTTTAGAAAATTTTTGAGTTGTCTACTTTTTTTTTTCATCTTCTCTTTTCCTCTTTCTCTATGCCCTCCTTCCCATATTTCTTTATTTTTCTTTCCTTATCTCTCTTCTATATACTTTTTTTTTATTTTTTACTCTTCCCTCTCTCTTTTCTCTTTTCTTTTTTGTCAAAGCTAAGTTTTTTTTCTTTTCCTTAAAGGTTTTTCTTCCTAGATTTCTCTCTCTTTTGAAAACTCCATCTTCATAACATTACTTCTCTGGCCAATTGACTTCCTTTTCTCAAAGACCATATTAAGAAGCAGTAACCTTTCTTAGGACATGGGCTTTAGAAAATTTTCTCTCTTCCATAGTTTTTTAGGAAAAGGATAGATGGCTTACCCTTCAAAAGATTGATATGGCTATCATTACCAAATTCAGTGTTGTTTATTAATCGGCAGTTAGACTAAATATACTCAAAAAATCTCTACACAACTATTATTATCTGAAAATATCCAAGGAGTTGTATTCCACAGTATCCAAAGTAAAATGGTAGCCAATGCCAATACAACTAGCAATAAGCTAGATTAGTTGCAAGTGTTATACTGATAATTGGAGAACTTAGTAGGGTAATACGCGACAATCAAGGATTCTAGTTACCCTGCAACATGAGCTGGTAATAACAACAAAAGTTTTTTACTTACCTCTCCGCCAATATAAGTCTATTGTACAAGATCAGGTTCTAGCACCATTAAGAAAATCAATAAAAACTCTACTTATAGGACACTTTCATCATACTTGAAGTATAGGTATGCCAAATCCTTTTTGTGACTTGGAGGCAAACCTGTATAAAGTAGCTATAGCACTTTTATATAAAAAGGTACCCACTTCTTACCACCTAACACTATTCTGCTTGCTATACATCAAGCCATATTTGAAAAGCAGACGTGCCAATTTTAATTATGACTTGGAAACCAACCTGTATAGTTTGTTTGCAGCACCTTCATGTGATTAGATATTCATTTAATTCTAGGTAGCTAGATGCTATTTATAACAAAATATGGATTTTTAAATTTCTTTTTTTCTGTATTTCTTGAATAGTGCTAAAAGAGTACAGGGGTCTGGTCCCATATAGAAGCCTTGCATTAAACTCTTTCTAGCAAATAGATACATATGTTATACTATTGGATATTGTATCTTGCTTTGCAAGTGAAAATATAATAAATATAATAAAGCATAATAGCCATTTGATTTTTTCAAAAAAAAAAATATTATATTATTTAATTATAGTAAGAATAATATTTATTTTTTTTATTTTTTATTTTTAAGGACTAAGTGCAATATATATATAATTTTTTATTAATTAATTAAGATCAAGTTATCCTAATATATGAACAATCTATTAACTAATGTTAATTAACAAACACTATCCATTCTTTTTACCAGATTATTAACTTATATCCAGTAAGTGAATTAATATTCTGGCTTTTATTACTATAAATAGTTCTACTAACTATCTTATATAAGGATCTATTATCTCACAACTTAATCACCACCAACTATAAGTAAATCAGTAGGCATTCTTTAATACAAGTATGTACTTCCTAATGAATATTCTAATTGATCGCTTGGTTGGCACTGATTATTAAATCTAAGAATCATTTTTAATTAAGTGAGGCATAACTCCTTAAGGGACTTGTCCTTTAATCTCTTAATAGACATTTTAATTGGATCAGTTGATATAAACTACCAAATATAGGTATATGAATATCAAGCAGAACACAACTTTTATATACTTTGTCTTGCTACATTATTGTCATAAAAGGTACCTGAGTTAGTATTGGTAAGGTGTTTATCTTTAATTGAGTCCAATCACTATAGACAACTTCTGGAGATCATTGTGCTTCAACCAGATGATTATTTTATCACAACACCTTTTTTGGAGATCACAATTTTAATGTTTATTGGATCAGTATATAAAATGGCTTTGTATAAGAAACAGCATATAACAAGTTATAGTATCAGATATCATATAGTTTTTATTCATTTATCTTTACTTAGGATTGAACTGATATCTTATAATCTGACTTGTTAAGTATTAACTATTATACTACAGATTCACAAATCAATATTCTTTTTATAATAAAAATCTAAGATATATTAATATAAAAAGATAATTATCTTTTATATAATAATTAAAAAAAGTATTAGACTTTTAAAAAATTTTACAAGTAATTTATTACTTTAGTAAGCTACTGTATATATACTGTATGTAAAATATAAATATTATTTAATTAAATATGAATTATAATTTTTATTTATATTTATTTATTTCAAAAAATATATATAAACAATATATAGGAAAAAAAAAATAACTCTTTCCGCTGATCCTTTTGCCAACCCAAAAAACAAACGTTCTCAAAAAACTTTTTGTTTTTATGATAATAAAGT